CACACACACACACACACATACACACACGCCAACACATTCTCATTCAGTGCACAAGCATCTGGCTACAGACACCCCTCTTGTCCCCTATGCCTCAGTGCCTGCCAATTACAAAAGAAGTAATCAATTCCACCACGGCCCCGTCCAGGGAAATCGACTTCAATGACACCAGCTACATGGCTGCTGTCTCTGTACCTGACAGCCACTTACACACAAGCAGGGACCCAGCCAGCCGTCTTTTTGCCGCTCTCCACTACGAGGCCAGCCAAGACAAACCACTGCTTGCTTCCCAATTGGCAGTGCCACACATAACATCATACATAACCTGTATTCAACTGTAGCAGGGAGAATGATAGTATGAATTTTTTCCTGTCTGACTGATGCATAAGCATAAGGGACAAGTATTCGTAAGTGCACGAGGCTCAAGTGGAAAGAATGTGAAGATGAAATGGATAGATGACAGGAGAGTTTATAATAGCTTACAGTATGTCTATAGGACGAGTAGAGAAAGAGAACAAGTGCAGCTTACAGTTTTGTTATATAGCGACAGCCGGTCAAGAAAGTAACAATACAAAAGAAACAGCTGATGCTTTTTCACTGTATTTAAGGAAGCTCCAACCTTTTGCCATCTTGTCACTGCCTCAGCTCATTGCTGCCAGGCAATGACCCAAGCTTGTCCTCAAAGGTCCAGTTAGAAGAATTAAGTGGCATCTTAATGGTCAGGTTGCAGATTGAAACCAACTTAATAGCTCTCCCATCACTCATCCTTTTCTGTAAGAGGACAGAATGATGCAAGAGGAGTGCTGGAAGGCGAGGGGAAGGTAATGTGAAAATGACGAAGGCCCATTCTTAAGCCAGGGTTTTAGTTGTTCATGTTGTGATGTTGCAGAAACATTGTGGTGCAAATACTATCTTAACTTTTCTGTCAATAGATCCCCCAAATCCTATAAACTGGGCCTTTACACAATCCAATCTAATTCTCCATTTTTGCAGACATCATGATTATTCCTGTGTTCAAACCAAACGCAAAATTGTTTTTCGCATCACTTTACTTGGATCAGGGCAAGGTCCCACTCATGCAAATGTAACAGTGGCAAACCTTTGCCTGCCATTTAGTGTCTTTGTGTTGACTTTGTACAAAATCTCATTGAGCAAAACCTTTGCCTGACGTTTGATCTGGATGCACCATCAGTCTCAGTTACAGAGAAAGTATGAAGTATTGAAATATACAGTGTCGGTGGTTTTAATATTACCTGATGATCAGTGTTCTCAGTTGCCTTTACATTAACAATACTACGTATTCATCACGTTAAGCTAAGCGGGACCTCTTCAGACATAATAATCATACAAATAATTTCATTTGCCCTCATTTATGCACCGGTATAAAACTTTGAACATCCTCTGAGTTAAGAAGCTCCAGACACACCCTGCTTGGCAGATAAGACTCAAGAATGTTTGGTACACAGAAGGATAACTCACGAGGCATCTCAGTCATGAGACTATAGTGGAATTTATGGTGCTGTGAAGGTCAGCTGCATCCATTTCTCAACATGTGAGTTACAGAGAACATTTTAAGGTTTCAGCAATGGATGGTAATACATCGCTTCACTGCTATCATTTGTCTCTTCTCTTATCCATCTCTTTGTCTGCAACTCCATTTCCTCCTTAACCCATCTTCTGCTTTGTATGTTTCATTTTCCTATATTTGTCAATTGTCATGCTGCCTCCCCCATGTCTATGTCTCTCCCTCCTCCCCTCACATTTTGGTTGACTTTTCTCCCCTCGTGTTCTTCTCAGCTCTTTCCCTATATTTTCCTTTTCTTCACAGTGCAACAACCAACAATCCTGACACTGTATACTTAGCATGAAAGCGCTGTCTGTGTTTGTGTGTGTATACCTGCAAGTGTGCAATTACGTGTGTGTTTCTGGTAAAGACAGTAAAAACAAGCCTGAGGGACAAATGGTTGATCCTCTGCCCTTTATCTTCAAACACAGGCATACTAAAACAAACGCATGTAGGCAAGGGTTTAGTGTGTCTGTGTGTGGTTGTGTATTTGTTCTTAGGGATGTTCGCAATGTTACCTTTGGCCTGTTTATACTCCTCACAGATCTTTCTGACGGCTGCCAGGCCCTCACGCTCATCCCTTCCACCTGAAGGAGACACAAACACACACACAGATTAATATAATGTCTGACAAGCCCTTCGAGGCTTTTATACAGTAATAGTGTTTTTGTCTTTTTTTGTCAGCCAGATAGTTTTTTAAATATAATAAATAATTGGTGAGACAAAAACTTCACAAAAATATGTTGTTACTTTAACATTTAATATTTTTAACACCTGCAAATACCATGGTGTGATATGCAGTCATTGACTCTGACTCAGGATTGTTTACAGAGAACGTCTGCATACAAATGAACTCTGCGTCTATTAAATAAGATATGAAAGAAATAAGAAAGGAATAAATATAGGGAAGAGATAGAGGAGGATGAGGAAGTGTCCAAATTACCTACCCTCATTTAAAAAAAAACCTTTATAGTTGCAGGTATGTATCCAAATACACACACGCACAAAGATGAAAATATACCCTCATTGCCAACATATTATTGCTGACAATTTGTTGATTAGATGATCCAGTCGATTCAGTCAATCTACAAGACATCAGTTGAACATTAGCTGTTTCCCACTTCTCAAATATAGGGAATCACTGCACATAAAAATTAATACACACACGCAAACTCTCTTATACCCAAACTCATACACACAAATAGCCTCACTCTCATTTTCTCTCTGCACACACAAACACACACACACTAATCTTGGATTATCACGCAGGCCTTTTCAAGGGCACAGCATCATTTACCCTGATGCACTGCGGTTCAGGCTCCGCTAAAAGATGTGGCTCTTCAGGATGACGTGTTACAAGGGTAACACAAATGCACACATTTAGGACAGACCCACAGAGATCTCAGACATATACAGCTATTTTTTTCTTTTCACAAATAGCTGTTCTTTAAAAGGCATCTCTCCTCATGGACCGCCAGTCTGCTATGGGCTGCATATCCTTACATTTCTGCAAAACTGCTTCTGGTCAAAGCTTCCCTTTAAAATAGTCACTGATTAAAAATATACCCAGAGGAAATAATTTGCCTACTAAATATTTTTGGGCTGGGGGCTTGAAAATGTAACCTAATTTTCACATCAATATTTTTGCAGCAGAACAACTGCAGAATGCTGAGCGTAACCATGTGTGTTGAAAAGCTCTAAACACATTTGTTAAACTTCACCATATTCATAAGCTAGCTAAGGCACCATCTAAAAACTTGAAACTACCTATCATCTTACAAGTAGGCTATTGTTCACACACAAATAACACCTGCACCCATCTGAACATGGGAGTGCTGTTCTTAGTGCATTGTTGACACATTGCTAAATCAAGGCAGTGGAAAGCAATGATGCTTTTGACCAACAAAAACTTTGTCTGATGTCACAGACTTATGATTTCACTGTAATTTTAGGGGCACTAATAACATAGTATATACTTACATAGGCAGGTGCACTATGTATACACACTGTTTGTTACAAACACAAATATTCCAGCCAACTTTCATCACACTTTTCAATTCATCTACCTCCGCCAGTGGGTTTATTTTATAATAGGATATCATGTTGTGTGTTGTGGCTGCTATCAAAAGCAGAGAAATTATTTGCCTGGCTCCTTGATCAATCCTCTGCTAATCAATAAGTGAAAGATTGGATCAAGCAGAAAACAAGTGTGCAACTTGGGGCTGTCAGTGAGACATTATTCAGGTTTGGTGGAGCAGATTGATTGTTTTGAATGAAAAAAACAGGGTTTATCAATGATTTTTCAGAAAAGAGAGAATTATTTTCTACTGTGCTGGAAGGTTCAAAATGATTTATAACTCATTTTTATAGAGGGTCAGATGAATAAGAGTTTGTCCCACAAAAAGTAGGCTTCAGTTTTCTGATGACATTTTTTGTTAAATGATGAAGATAATAAATAGGCAACTTTTTTGTGGGTGTTTTGTAGGTAAATCTCTCAACATTAACAAAACCTGGCTTATGAGTGTAAATGGATAAGAACATTTCACCATGGAAGACATAGCAAACCTGCTTTGCCTCTTGGTTGATGGCTCAGAAAAACAATCATCAGCTTGACTGATAGTTTACTGATAAGATTTCATTAAGTCCCAATTTGGCCTCCAGAGACTTTTTCTTCCATGGAACCAAATGTGATAACAGAAGAAAAGGATCACTTCTTTGTAAGACCTGTTTATCCATCCCACATATCACAATGTGTCATTCATGGAAAACTTAGTGGCACTTTCCAGAGATGAACTCATGGATTCAGCTGTTATTCAGCATCTTTAAGAGACTGCTTAAAATTTTCTTGTCATGGGCCTTGAACTTAGGGAATTAAAATTGGGAAGAGAAGAAGAAATCAGTAAATGTTAATACATTCACCTGATTTCAAACTCCACCAGTGCCCTTGTCGCATCAGTTATAGTTGAGACCATGATAACTGATCTATCCATGTTTTTTGGAAAAATAAAGCTTATTGCATTGAAGTAAATGTGTGTAAACGATTAACAAACACACACTATTAAAGTACAGCTTCAAATGTAACAGTTTATTCTTTTTATTCTTTTCACTTGGTAGGATGTACTGGTGTCTTTGCTGGAGCACAATATTTTCCAACACAGAATAATTTAAGTGTAATTATCTTCTCTTAAAAATATTCACTTTCAATCAAAACCTACTCAAAAACACTTCAAGCCAAATTGCACACTGATAAATCTACAACTCTGATATTTGCCGGTGCACAGGCTCAAACCATTAACTCCCCTCATGCAAGCACTCTGCTCCCACTTCACCTGAAATATGCATCCACTCCGCTGCTAGAGTGGGATCTATTTTACCACCAAATATTCTCACTTCATGAATTATCTCAAGAGGTGGGGGGAAATTTTAAATGGAGATACACTCTATCCTGCGGGATTAGCTTCAATACACACACAATTGTCTGTGTCTCTGACAGACACTTCAAGTTCTTCATGTATTGATTCTGTGTGTGTGTAATCATACAGTACATAGCTCTCAAGTCTCATTTATTTTCTGCTCAAACCGTCTCCAAGGATACTCTGACACTGACTTTGTGACGTACACTCTGAATGAATAAAGCTGGAGTTTTCTTAAAAGTTTTCAAACTCGTGACCTGAATTTAAAATTCAGCCTCACCCTGGAAGCCAAACCGCATTAAAACATATTGCTGTTCTGTGCACAGCATATTGTAGCAGTAATGTACTGCACTTTAGGTGGCTTTTTAAGAAAATTTATTTTAAAATATTCTCTGCCAACCCATTTTATTTGTATATCGGGAACATTACAAAACAGTCGGGTGACGTGAAAAGCTCCCATTACGTCCAGCCCCTTCTACTCCCTTGACCACCTCCCACCTGCTGCAACACAAATACCACAAAACAAGATTAACATTTGGCAGTGGGCTAGAGATGGATATTGTTATCTAATCATGTTATTATCAGCAGATAATACGGCTGGACAATAAATCCGTACATGCCAAAGTCCAGATATCAACAAATATTGTTATTTATTCGTTTTTTTTAACCACATAAAATTTGGGGCCATGTCTTTGCAGATGCAACCGAAGTTAGTAATGTTTCAGTCGACTGTGGGGACAAATTGCCAAATAGGGTTTTTTGGCTTGTGTGTTGTGTGTCACATTCATGCAACAGAAGTAGTCCCTCTTTTAGGAGGGAGCTCTGTTGCCTGAATGCAAATTTTTCTGCTTGAGCATATATGTAGAAAAACTCAAATCATAGTCCAAATGATGAAAATATATTACAGTCAAGAGTGATTTTTGGACAAGATAAATGCTGTTTTTCTATTGTCACTCAACATGTATAATCATATTGCAAAGCCCTGGCAAATATTATCATATCATAACGGTGATTAAAATTGTGGGGCCTGTATGTGGGGGCTGGGGCAGATCCCAGCTGACATTGGACGAAAACATCCTGCACAGGTCACTGCATACTGCTGGGCCCACATACAAAAACAAACAACCAGTCACTCTACCATTCACAAAACGGTCAATTTAGAGTCTCCAGTTATCCTAACCCCAACCTGCACGTCATTGGATTGTGGGAAGAATTCAAGTTATCCACAGAAAAACCCAAACAGACACAGGGAGCACACAGAAAGACCCTGGCCAAACTGGGATTTGAACCTGCAACATTCTTGCTGTGAGGCCAACCACCGCCCTCTGTGTCATTAACAGTGACCATGCGCTCTCCAAGGTACTGAATCAAGAGTTCATGTTGTTTCACAAGGGCATCTTCAACTCCGGCCTTAATTACTTCACTGCTTAATTGTTAATACACAATTGACAATTGTACATGCACAACATTATCTCCCACTTAATTTGCATTTGCAGTCTCTGGACAGGGAGTACAACCTCTCTGTAATGTGTAAATAGGGTGATCCAGCTCGAGTGGGTATTTATACAGAATGTAAAATGTAAAATCCCTCACTAGTTGTTGTCAACAAGTGAAGTACTCCTCATCACAGCTACCACAGAGAGTTCTGTGGTTTAACATGATGATTGAGTTGAGCTGAAACCAAACCCAGTGACTGTACAAATAGAGTAAAGAGTAAAACTTGATCCTGATAGCTTAATGGGCACACCAGAAACAACACCAGTCCCTACGGGAGTGTATGTTAGAGTAGATGCTAATGGCAGTTAGCTCAGCTGCCAGTTCTGGAGTGTTGCTGGGAGAGATGTTAGAGGTAAGAGGAAAATGCTTCCTTCAGTCATAAATCTCTACAGAACCCTCCAGACAAAAATAACAAAGCACAACAACACAAACAATTAAACACTGAGCCATCTTACCACTAATGTGTCTCCAACACAGAAAATCTATAACCAGCTTGTGTGATGCTGTTTGCTAGATCATGATAAGGAATATCAATGAAACAGATCAAATGTTTTGAGAAAAAAGTTGTTACTGTAATAATATTTTCTTTCAGTGACTTCTTTTCTTTGTTTACCTTTCTCCAAAACATGTACTTTGGTAGATTTCTGAATGGACTGTTTGAAGCACAGGCTGGATATCAATACAGACAACATGACAGCTCCCCAAAGTGAAGCCAAATCATTTTGGCTGGGTTCAGCATAGGTCATAAACCCTACTAGTGCATGAGACATGGACCAAAACAATGCATTCTCTGAAAGATGGTTCCTGTGATTTTAGGTCGTTGAAGTGGTTATTTTTCAGATAAGTTTCAAATAGTTATTTGATGCTAAAACATTTGGTGAATCTTCTTTATTTAAATCTAAAACTGATAAGAAACTGGACAAATGCATGTAAATAGGCAGGTTCTGCAATAGAAGCTCCAGAGCAGCTCCACACTGCAATCACTACTGTGCAGACTCTGGCTCAAATTATGTCAGAAGAGCGAAATGGTTGCACCTGTATCCGGAATATTTTCGCATCATGTTTGTGCAAGTGGGGGGGGAGTGGAAATGCATCATCCAACTTTGTATGCAGTTGATGGTTTTAATTCACCTATCTTTTTGTCCTGTTATCTAGAAGAAAATAAATTCAAATAAAATATCAGCTTACTTATTCTCCAAATGCATAGAGTGAGCGTCCAAGTGACACATGTGTACATGAGGGCAGCATGTATCCTTCTTTAACAGGGAAATTTAATTTCATCAATTTCACCATAAGGCAACAAACACCCACTGATATCAGAAGTGGGATTATTGCTCCAGCTCTGGCTCCCTGGCATCAACATCAAACCCTAAATGCTAAACAAAACACTTAAGTGTGTGAAAGAGCTAAACCGTTAATCCATGTGAAGCCTTGAAGTGCAAAACATTAGAAGTGGAAGACAGGGGGGACATCAGAGGTGCTGATCATGATCAACATATTTTATGAAATGGCTCCGGGGAATAAAAGATAAGGGAGTGATCAATGTAGTACATCGCCGTGGTGAGTAGGTACAAGGACACACTTCAAGGAAGGAAGCCAAAGAGAGTTACACCATAGATAGAAGTAAATGTATATGACATAAGGGGTTCATTCATTTGATCGTCTGCACAGCCGACACACAAACACACACAAACACACAATCTCACTATAATCTGATTTTTGATATCAAACTTAGTGTATAAGTTCTTAATATAACCATTTACGCAAATCCTTTGAAATGGGAAACAATGTCCAATTTCATTTTCAAATGCTTTCTTTATTAATTATATTTAAAATAAATGCTGTCCCTTTTTAACAACACACTTAAATATAAATACTTGAAACTTTGTGGGTAATCAGTATTTTTGTGTTTGTGCTCTGTAGAATGATGATGTTTCTCACATGCTACAAGACCCTGGTATAAAGAATTCCATTAAATTTTGTTGTTGTTCTTTTCTCTTCAACGCAAATATACCTCAATATTTAACAATAACCATAAGAACAATACCAGACCTTGAGTCATGCAAAACTTACATTTGCATTTCACATTCAATTTGATATCAACCTTGAAATCCCAATGGAGCTCAAAAATCATCTCACGTTGCAGCATCACATATTTTCTAATGATGAAAACAAAAATGTGGGATTTTACTCCAAACCTTGAAACAGATCAGCGGGGTGTCAAGAGGCATCTGAATACGCTATTGACCTTCTGATACTAATTAAGGATTTCTGTCAGCAACAGGCTTTATACAGACGATTCATTGTACAATACACATCTATTGTAAGAGGATATCTCTGGAGCCTTTTATCCTCTCTGTCGCTCCACCAACAGGGAGCCATCTTCTTCAACTAAACTGTATGTAGTGCATGATACACCAGGACACTATAAAGAGATAGGCATTGGATAAAATAAACTTTTGTGTACAGATATTCATTTAGGGCACCTTCACAACTTGTTGGTTTTGCTCAGATCTTCTTTCCAGTTTAATGTAAACTAAAATAAAAAGGTGCCTTGACCCAGACCAGCAGTCCAAAACTTAATGCGAACAAAAGAGGTGGTCTTGATCCAGATGAAACTGAACCATGGTTTGGTTCGTTTTTAGCGTGAACATTTCTTCGACTTCTGCACTGCACCTGAAGTTTGTGATCCTGGTAATAACCTTGATTTGGACTTTCAGGTGTGAAAACATCTAAACACTCTCTAATGCCATGGCCCGTTAAACAAGATTAATTCATTCATGAAAATATGTATTTTGAAATGTTGTCCTTTTAATACCCATCATGCAGACCATAGAGTATTTAGTTTGATTGTCTGAGTTAATATATGCCTCCTAGACTTTCCCAAGACCTTGATTGCAACTGTTTTCAATTGCATCTATTTTAAACCAAAGGTAAAAGAAAAAAAGACACTGTGATGACAGTATGTTGAAAATGACGGTGTTGTTTACTAAAAGTCACAACTCTTAACTGCAATTCCTGTGTTGTTCTCAAATTGACAGACAGTGATTCAATTAAACGACATCTCCTACTTCACACAGGCTGACACCAGTCTTTTCGGTTCTCCCTGTGTTGCCTCTGATCAGCCAGCTGAAAACTCATTAGAAACATTTAGCAGTGATTAAGGGCGTTTTCACTATCATGTCTAAGGTTGTTGTGCCACCAGCTTTACACCTGCTTAAGCTGTCTGTGCGTTGACAGATTGCCTTGTCAAGCTCACTGCTGTGAGCAGGTGGGTATAACCTGTACATATATACAATATTTTCTCCTCATAAATTCTCAAGGATTGATACATTGCAAAGGAGAAAAGGCTACTCCACTTTATAATAAGCTAAATCAAGCGCCAACAGAATGAGAGGGAACTTACAAAAGGGTTTGTGACTCAGAAAATTGAGTGAGTCTGCCATTTGAACAACAATGCTCACCAGCCATTTTTATAGACTTTGTATTTTTTCCATAATTTATTGTGTTGTTCCGTGTTGTATTGCTTTCTCTTTTTTTATTGTTTGTTTAATAACTGTGAAGCACCAAAGGTTATCATTAATATTGCCTTTCATTTTTGAGTTAAAACAGATGGGAGTGAGCCTGAGGGGAAATCTCTTTGTCATACATGTTTGTTTACCCTCTATCTCCTGCCATGCTTGTGTGTCCCATTTGTGTGGCGGTCTCATACTGTACCTATGATAACGTGCACGCCCAGTCTGGCCATGTGGCGGACTACCTCATAGCCGATTCCCCTGCCTCCTCCTGTCACTATGGCAACCTTGCCATCTTGTCTGGGCATCACTGGCAGAGGCAGAAGAGGACACACAGATATCAGGGAGAATGTCATTTGATAAGGCAGCCGCTTCAAGACGGGCCGCTATTTCACTACAAGTGAAGTTCTTGTAGTCAGACTTTAAGATAGTGTGCAATTGTCAGACGGACTTTATTTGTCTGTGAAATGACTTTCGTTTGCTTTCCTAAACAATGTTGAATGGAGTCGCTTGTCTCCTTAAGTCACCTGAAGAATGATTTCATGTAACTACTAACTTCCTGCTTCCTTCCTGAAAAAATAAGTTAGGGCTGGGCAATAAAACAATATCAGTAATTATAAATGTGATTTTCATGAATAACAAAATACTACAAAGGTTCAATATTTATCTATACAGTGCTTATGTATGTATTGTACCAGCACAGTGGGGAGGTATAACACATAATTTATATTTTCTGCTCATATAGAAGACTAAAACCACCACCAACAAAATAATAATATGACATTTATCATAATTATCAATATCAACTGCTATGGACATTTTCATCTCGATATAATTTTTGGCCATATCGCCCAGCCCTATATCAAGTCCCTTCATATCACTCATAGTATGGTTACATGTCTATGGTGTATGTCGTCATGTATGACGTCATATTATATATTGTATAAGTAAAAGTATAGAATAAATATAACTAGTAGAGTATAATTATATACTATATACTTATGAAATATTGAAAAAGTAAAGTATACTTATATTTATAGTATAAGTATAACTATTTAAGTATAGTGTATTTAAGTATGAAGTCATGCATGTTTACATGATGATGACTATGTTGCCTGACATGTGTACCTGTTCTACTCAGTATACAGTAATGTGTCACTGTAGGTCTAATATTCAAAAACACCTACATAAAACCAGAACATTTGTGTAGCATGAGTTGCTGCAATATATTCATTCTACCTGCAGTTCATATTTCATTAGTTGATGTCATTATCAAGCCTGATCATTGACCTGTGGCTGGGATACGTTCTGTCCTTTAGTGAATCGCCACAACAGACCAAACTACTTTATAAAAAGTGGTTATTTAAGCCCACGCAGCATACAGACAAACGCAATCATCTTTTAAATGATAATTAAAGATGCAAATTGATTGTTAAGCTGTTCTGCTAAATTCGGCTAACGTAAGACACCAAATAGATCCTAATGTCACTTGTGTTTTGACTCCTTATTCTCTCTAAAACTAGCTAACACCGCTAGCTTAGCGTCTTCCGTTACAGCGCTACGGTGACAGCCCGTACGGGTTCAAGAATGGCTCCTACGGGCGCGAAGTAACGTTACGACGTGTAACTACAGTCTAACAGCGTCAGTCACTCACAGTACAACCTGAACGGGACACAACACAACAGTGGGCGAACCACAGACTGTGGAGAAGAGTGAACGAACGCAGCAGCACAGCGGACAACTTATCTGGAGCTAAACCGACCTGGCAGCCTGAAAGCTGTGGTGAACATCTGGACCAGCAGCTCCTTCAGACCGAGCAGGTAGAGTCTGATCACAGGGAGAAGATGAGACCGGAGAGAAAACATGTCTGTCAGGATCTGAGGAGGAGCAGAGAGGAGCAGCAAACTATCATGGGCACTGATCCGTCTGTGGGACACGTTCCAATAGGAAGTCATCTAACCTCACTTACTGCAGAGGCATCACTCAATCCTGCATCAACACTTTACAAAGCACTTAGTGTGTCTTTAAGCACCAGACATCCGAACATATTCTATTTTGCAATAGTTTTTGCTATATTTTAATTTTATTCTATATTTTACAATCACAGATGTATGTTATGTGTTTATGAGGTGTTGGGTTAAAGGGATAGTTCACCCAAAAAAGGAAAATTAACTCATTATCTATTTACCACTATGCCAATGGAGGGGTGGGTGAAGTATTTGAGTCCATAAATCACTTTGGGAGTTTCAGGGGTGAACAGTGTTGCAGCCAAATCCAATAAAATTGAAGTAAATGGTACAAAACAGGAAAAAAAAAATGAAAATGCCTCCATTCTGCTCTTCTGGGGTCATCCAAGTGTCAGTGAGCCCCGACATTCAAATTAATCTTGAAATGATGTCATTTACACCATGTTTTTAGCCTAAATGTCCTCTGTGATCCACGCACGAATGCAGCTCAAGAGCAGGATATAGATAAAGTGTGCATCTGTTAAAATACCAGAGAAGATCATTGTGAGCATGTTCAGAAGCTGTGTCTCAATTTACCCTACGGAGGACGCCGCCTATCTGACCCTTGGGGACTGCCTCCGTTGACGGCCGCGTAGACCGCAAATGCAGAACCAAAATGTGACGGTCTGGTCTACAGTGGGTTTCCGTGATCGTTGTCTCCAGCTCGTCACGCCCATATTGCTGTTTCCTAGCAACAGCTGAAGTTAATTGGACACTATGAGAGAGTTGTGGTGGCCCTTTTTTTTTTTTAAACATTTGCACTACTAGCTGTTCAGTTTAAGTGAAGCGTGATACTCAAGCACTGGACATTTCGTCAGTAAAGCGCAATGAATCCTGGGATACATTGGGCCGGGAAGGAGCCACCCATTGGAGCCTTTGTTTCTTGGGGAAAAAAGGACACATTTATCAGCTGCATGCAAAGGAGCTTTTGAAATGTGACAGCCTCGTCGCACTGCTGCAATAGGTCTTCTGATTCCTAGCAAGTGAGTGAGTCTGTTGATCACATTTCTAACGTGACAGACGCCAAACTGTAAAAAAAACTACAAGAAAAGAAATATCTCTCGATGAAAAAGAGGTGCCACACATGAAGACAACACCGATAAAGATGTCACTTTAAATATACGAGATTCAAGCTTTTGGCGATGAAGGCAGATGCCAGTGTTGACATGCTATAAAGCACAAACATGTGATTTCCACCGAGGAATATATACGTTATGTTCTCTCTCCTGCATGTTCTACCCCAACCTTCCCCTGAGTTCTCTGGTTGTTGTGAACGCATCTGAACCAAAGAATCTCCTGCTGCATTTTTTATATGTGAATTGAATGCCATTTACTGGAGCTTTTCTTGAAATCACCAGATTGGCCAATTTCTCCGACGCCCTGATGACTAGTTGACCTTGAAAAGTCGGATTTCCAGTAGCCATCCATCACTTGGCTGTCGAGGTTGAATCAGCGCATGATGGAAGGAACTCGCTGCTGCTGCTTGGCTGCTTGATGTGCCATATTATCCTTCTCTAGATCCAGCATATTGCTCCCTTCAGCTCACTGACTATCTCATTAACTGCTGCCAGAGAGGTCACACACGATGGAAGCAACAGAGGGATGACACACTAGTTTGATCCATAATTTCCCAGGATAGGCTTTAAAAGCATGTTACTGGAGCAGCGCGGCTTCTGTCTGCAGCCTTATTGCTCCTCTTTTACTTGGAGGAAGCGAGTTCGGGTTGACTGCTGGATGTTAGATTTTCCTCTGGGAACACTTGAGTCCATCGCACCAGTGTACTCTTATTAGAGGCCAGTCATGCTGCCGTGATAATTAGTCAAAAAGGACCTCAGCTGTGAAAGTCCTGACTTTTTCTGCAACACTAATTCAACACTAATTCTCTGATTTAATCAGCGCTAAGTGTCCCCTCAATTTTGCACAGAGAAGATCCATCATCCATGATGTGAAACAATAAGATGGTTTTGTGAGTTGAAAAAAAAAACCACTTTATGTATTTAAACTTAGAAAATAAAAGATTAATAGAAATGTGTAGTATCCATCGTATCAGTGACAGTGTCATCATATCCTGCTTTCAATACACACTGTTGTCATAAGCTACATCTAGCTTTCTAATTATGGGTGGCTGTGGCTCAGGGGGTATAGTGGGTCATCTACCATACATGAAGTTCGGTGGTCAGTCCGCCCCCCCCCCCGGTGGCTGTACTGAAAGTGTAAGTGTGATGTGTGATAAGTGAATGCACTACCACAACTACAATTGTAGAAGAATCAGAATTGTTCAGAATCACTTGTATTTTATCATGTAAAGTGAATTGCTTCCTACAGGACTGAAAAAGGTCAAGCAATGTGTACTGTACATATCTGTGTATAAAACTGACAAGCAGGTAGAGGCCCTGTTCACACCAACACGCAATAACACGTGTCTGCAGTGATCTGATCACAGTGGACACCTCTGAGTACATCTGTTCAAACATGGCATTAGAATGCGTCTCCACATGCGACACATAGATTCGGTGATTACCTTTAATCAATTTCCACTTTCACGCTGTTCTTACCACTTGAATTGATTTAGCTGTTGCCATAAGTCACCTTCCCTATTGCGAAATCACGCTACAGGGAGGTGCTTTGAAAAAATATACAGCAGGTGGAAATAAACACTCACCCCAAATGAAAAGGCTGGACGACAACTTTGCACTTTCCATGAATACCCGTGAGCTACACAATTGTCAGGAACACATTATGGGGCAGCCATCCAACTATTTTCATCCGACCTTTAGCAGGAATTAAAAAACAGGTCAATGAATGAATTTCATGTTGGCTCTGTTGATTTGTTATTATTGCTCACGTAATTAAACATTTCCATTTACTGTATATAAAAGCAGGTATCTGGTGCATGTCTTTTTCTTTGGGCATCTTGGCTAATTTAAACACTGAATCATCTGTCAGCAAAGAAAACAGGGTCAGCGACTGATGATCCATGCTGAGTTAGATGCTGGTAGCCAAGTCTAACGCCAGTTATTTTCCTTTGGAAGGGTTCAAACAGTTGTAAGTTTTTGTCATTGTTTCTGTCCATCCAGACTAAAACTAAAACCGTGGTTAGCAGCATGTCCAAACTTCTAAACACAGATGTGTTGTAGCGTGGAGGTCGCCTTAGAACAACTGTTCTTCAAAGCATCTGGAGACTTGGAGGTCAGCTGCATAAAATGGGATAAACCTCCAACATACACCAAAGATCTAAGAACACCATTTTGGTTCAAAAAGATTTTAAGCTTAATGTAAAGCTTTTGTTGTTCTGCTGCAGTAATGCATTATGTCCGTGTTAACAGGCTCAGGAGCCAGCTGCATGTGTTGTCCCTGGCACTTTATCATCACGATACTTCCTTCTACTAAATTACAATCATTTCTGTTAAAGACAGGTCTTGGGGGCATTCACAATAGCTTCTTCCTGTTTTGTCTTGACAGGGAAAACATTAGTTTTGGTTTGTGTCTTTCTCACTATGCAATAGTTAAGGTCTAACTAGACCGGAAATGCTGACAAGCAGTTGGCCCCAGTTATTAAGTCTGCTTAGTAGGCAGCTAAATGAGCAGCAACTTAGAGAGACTGTGTCATCACCACTGCCCCCGATGGAGGCTGAGCAGCGGGAGGCTGTGTGTGTGGATTTAAATGTGCGAGTTAATGCAAGCTGAGAGGACGCGAGTGCATGTGTGCCGTGTGTGTGTGTGTGTGTTTCTTCTGCCTCAGCCTGAGAGGTTGGGAGGGTCACCGAGGCGAGCCGGCCTGCTTTTGTTAAAAGGAAATCGCATCTCACGGATGACTGTGGAATGATTATTTGGGTTGATGGAACATCAGGGATACAGTTGTCTACACACCCACACACACACACACACACCAATAAAGACATATGTACCCCCACAAACACACACACACAAACAAACACTCACATACACACAGACACATGAGACATGCCAGGAACAGGACGTGACAGGAGGGTGTGTGATGTAAATAACATTTGAACAGCATCAAAATAGCTCCAACCAACAGTCACCTAGTCTTATATGACAACCACTGGCTGGCTGCAAAGCCCAACTTGTCTTATTTTGTAAATTCAGGCTGACAACCCCTCTACAGCATCTCTGCATGTTTGTTTGCACGCTGCCAGTTAAATAGTAATCTTTATTTCATATTTCACAAAGGTTTATTCCTGCTGAGACGAGATGTTATTGGATATTGTTTTGCAGATAATGGCCCTTGGATGATGATTTGGACACATTATCCCTGTTTGTTTTTTACTCCTGTTTGGCTCTCAGCCATGGAAGATGGCATGTATAGTTTCATATTGTGAAGAAAATTTAATTTTCTGGCTTTTCCATGGGCTATATAGGCTACAGAGTCCTTGTTTGAAGTGATGTTGTCTTTCTGTCTTTGTTTGGGCTTTCTCTTTCAGAAGCCTCCGCCCGCCCATCTGAGCCGATGATGGACTCAAAGTTCAGACTCAGTCAAAGCTGCAGGCTACAGTGTCCCAGCCTTAATGGATAGGAGACAGGAAGCCATAGGGAATGCCTTTAGCAACCTGAATCGCAATTATTTGTGTGCACCTATTCTAGATTATTTGCGTTAATAGCAGTAGGTGTGTGTCTGTGTGTATGTGCTATAAAGTGTGAAGAAGACAAACATGTTTTTTTTAAACCATACAAGAATTAAAGTGTAAAAAATGAAAATTTAACATTTTTACTTTTCAGTTCAGTACAGATTTAAGTATTATAAGTATAGTAGGTACAGTTGCTGTGATCTGTGAGATCAGGGAGGACAAAGGTGCTAAAGAGTCACTTAGCTGTGGGCTTGGCTACAACTTGAGCCCTGTTTTATTCCA